AGAATAATTCCTGCAGTCACGAAAACTCCAAAGATTAAGAGAAACGTTATGTTTGGCAAAAACCAAACACTGCTTTCGAAAAGAAGAACCTCATTCCAACCGTCAAGCGTGGTGGTGGGAATGTGATGGTTTAGGGCTGCATTGACACAACCATGAATTCTGCATTGTATCAGAAGACTAGCTGTACTACCCGGCTTCGCCCGGGACTTGGATCCACCACGGCCGGCCACCTTTGTCTCCCCAGTGGCGATGTTCATACGCCACACCAGTTACTCGTTTTGAGGCTGAGTCCCTCCCTTACCACTCTCCCTCCCTCACCGCTCTCCCTCCCTCACCGCTCTCCCTCCCTCACCGCTCTCCCTCCCTCACCGCTCTCCCTCCCTCACCGCTCTCCCTCCCTCACCGCTCTCCCTCCCTCACCGCTCTCCCTCCCTCACCGCTCTCCCTCCCTCACCACTCTCCCTCCCTCACCACTCTCCCTCCCTCACCACTCTCCCTCCCTCACCTCCCTCCCTCACCACCCTCCCTCACCACTCTCCCTCACCACTCTCTAGAGGACGTGAAACTTTGATGAATTTACCTCAGAGTCGCGTGGTGGCTGTCGAGGCCTAGCACCGTGCAGAGCCTCCGGCCTCGCCTAAATTGCCCACCCGGCTGAGGCTGGGTACGGGTGCCGTTTCCCCCCCCCCCCGCGCTACAATAATACTGTCTAATCGCTATAATTTTATAATCTACCGACCCTATAATAGTAATTGCACACATTGTGGTGGGGGGGAGTGAAGAGGACGTGAAACTTTGATGAATTTACCTCAGAGTCGCGTGTTAATGCGTGCGCCTATTTTTAACGGGAATTAAAAATGGCGTCCCCCACGCGCCGAATGCGTCGCTACCCGTTGCCAGGGGCAACCACCGTCCAATGAAACTGCGTATGGTCCGGCGACACACAGACAGACAGACAGATTCGCGATTTTATATATATAGATTCTCGAGGAAAATCACAGGCCATCCGTCCGTGAGCTGAAGCTGAATCGAAAGTGGGTCTTGCAGCAAGACAATGATCCTAACCATACAAGCAGATCTACAAACGAATGGCTGCAGAAGAAGAAATTCAGCTTTTTACAATGGGGCTAGTCAATGTCCGGGACTAAACCCCATCGAAATGTTCTAGCAGGAGCTGAAGCGAGCAGTCCATGCAAGGAGTTATGTGAGGAGGGATGGGCCAAAGTTGAAGGTGTTATGTGAGGAGGGATGGGCCAAAATTCCTCAAATCCGATGTGAGAGATACTGACCAACGGTTACAGGAAACGCTTCGTTGCAGTCATTGCTGCTCAAGGGGGTGTCACCAATTATTGAATCTAAAGGGTCACATACTTTTTCACACGTGGTTATTGAATGTAGAATTACTACTATAATGAGCCAAGAATGTCTGTTTGTGTGTAACGCGCGTGGCGTCACTCCACATGCCACACCCCCCTCATTAATATTCATGAGCGGGTAGATTTTTACACTCACGCAGGTCGAGCGGAAATAACTTCGTTTGCAAATTCGCTTCAAGTTTGACGTTTCTTTATTGAAAGTGAATCTAATAAATAATTATACGCAGCAACAAAGTGGATTTGGTGTCTTTATTTCTTCAGCACTTGAGACAAAAGGTAAGTCTAATTTATGTTTCTACATTATGGTAAAATAGACATTTCTCGGTGATTTTCCACATCGTGTGTCGAATTCCAATTTATTTCAACCCCAGCGACCGAAAGCAGAAGAGAATAAAGTATCAGAGCAGTGAATTTCAACAAATTGAAAGTCATCTTCTTGGTTCTTTCGGTAAAGTTAAATGTATGCCAGCCAGCATACATTTTACCGAAAGAACCAGTCACGAAAGCTTTAAATCGAAATTTAAATTGAAGGTCAGTTATATACAGTGCTACAGTGAAATGCAGTGAAGTGTTTGATGACATACTTTTGTGCAACATTCACTGCCATTAAATTTACACAAGATACAATTATACTCTGCTCAATTTTTTTCGTAAATATTACAGCTTCTGTCCTAGAAGGAGTACCATGTTTTCATGTCATTTGTTGAATCAGGTTATCTTTATCTATTATGTATTAGGACTTACATTAAGATCTAATAACATTTTAGGTTTGAAATGTGTAAATGACGTGAAAATCCTAAGGGGTTCACAAACTGTTTTCTCAGCATGCACTGTACAATCTCAGAGCAAAATTGCCCAGCTCAGCACATGGACAACTATCCAGCGTAAAGAATTGGGAAAGAGACAATCTGATAAAAACAAAAATTGCATTTAATTCATGAAGCACACGAGGGCAACTTTGTAACCCCGTGCTGCCCAAGTGAATCGAGACTTGTCAACACAACAACCAACCGATTCGTTTTTTCATATCTCGAGATTTCGTTACTGCCAGCCAGCATACACGATTGTCTTGGGAAATGTAAAGGACACCCGTACATCATGTGGACCATCAGAACACATTTAACTCCGTGCCAAGAATAGCAAACGTTGTGAGATTTTCTCTCGTACAACGCGCAGAATAATGGACACCAGATGCAGAATGCACGTAACGATACTTTAATGTACGATGTTTGAAATAATTGAACACTTTTACATTTGGAATCAATTCGTCGTCAGCGTTTCCAACTTAAAGCTTAATCAATAACATCCGTCCGACACTCGCTTTGAAAGCGAACATATTTACATGAAAGTTCATTAGCAGTCGAATATTCGGGGGAACAAGAGCGAGTGACATTTTACACCGAAGCACCACACTTCGTATGAGGAAACCACAGATTGTGGTTAAACTTTACAGTGACAGTGTCGATGGGCTGCACAGCTGAATACATATCATTATTGACAAGCTGCATCACTGTTTATTTTTTGTGCTTGTTTACCGATGCAGGCTTCACTTAACCTTAACTCCTTTTCGAAAGGCTTTGCCACACTTTTGGAGTAGGTGGCTACGTTACTCAGTAATGCAAATTGAGTAATTCCCATGCGATGTATATAAACGTTTTCTCGGCACTGTATGAGAATAAAGAATAGTAAATAGCACTGGATAACCGAGAAGAATCCCTTTCAGAACAGGAGAGACCACACAAACTCCACACAGAAAGGAAACCCTGAGTTTGGAATCAAACTCAGGTCCTTCTTGCTGAGGCACACGTTTTACCACTGTGCCACCATTCTACCTATCAGTGTGTGAAAACCAAGGCTGTAGCCATGGAGTCAACATTGGGAGGGGGGACCAAATCTTCCAGGGTGTCTGGGGGTCCCAAACCAGAAAAATATCTACATTTGAAAACGAATTATCTGCCTAAAATATTAAAAAATTCACTAACACATGGGATGGACTTTTTAAATATATTTTTTACAATAATATCTAATAGTGTATTGTATTACATTGCTCTGCTTTTACTTTGTCACTATTTCTTGTTTCATTGTATGTAATGGCAGAGATTAGGGATTAATAAATTACAACCATAACCACAATCATATAAACAGAAATCTATGTATTGATTTATATGAAGACAAGTCCAGATATTGTGGCCAAGGATTAGCAAAGTTGTTTTTATTTACATAGCATAGCAATTTTTATTTTTATAGCAAAATATTGGTGGGGGGGGGGGGTATTTTGAACATATTTTAATATTGGGGGGGATGTGTGTCCCCCAATACATATTATAATTACGGCCTTGGTGAAAACTATCAGATGAGATAGATGGATAATTCAGTCACCAGGTAAATAATAACGATCTGAGAGCCCAAGTCGCGCATGTGGAGTAATCATAGATTAATGTAGGCCCAGACTAAACAATGCTCTGCATGAACAAAGAATGTTGCACCCCTTGAAAGTAATATTCATGAAATAACTCGAATTTGTCATTTACTGGCATGTGATTCTTGTGTGTGTGGGTTAGCCAGCATAATCATGCATTGACATATCTGTAAAATTGGGTAAAAAAAACTGTTTACGTTATCTGACATTCACAAAACTTTAAGCACTCTTTGCGGCTTTGTGACTTGGGCAGCCACCATCATCGCTCACCCATAAGGTCTTATGCAGCTCTCTATGCCATGGCATTGAAAGAAAACAAGCATTATACAAAAAAAGCTCTAACATACCATAGGATGATAAACCATAAGTCCAGTTAATTCTAATAGAGGTTAACTTTCTTATTGTACAATGCACATTTAGTACAATCTGAAGTCCAACACATCTTTGCATAAACCCATGCACAAGCAGTGTAAACGGGCATACACTTTCCCTCGTCTATCATCGAGTGGGCAAGGCCTGGTGCACAAGGGATTCTCCCTTGGGTGGCATACAAGGTGGCCTTGGGGCCATGGCATCACAAGCAACAGATGCAGGCAACAGCTGTTCAGCCACCCGCCATGTCCCATCAGGTAATGCCGATATTACAGCCCATTTACTATTTACCGCAGCCGACACTGGGTCAATACAGCGAGGTTACTGCTGTTTTAGCAGTCATTGCAAAAGCAGTGATTGGCGTTTTTTTCATCGTCACCTAATTTAATTGCATCGCCCGACAGTGTAATGGTTAATGAAAACTTTTAATCTTTGCATGTCTGTTAATGCAAATTAAACAAACAAAAAAACGTTTTCCACCCTCCGAATATGTATGCGTGAAAAACAAACCACAACAGACCACTGGTTGATATTTCTCCAAACTAAACCAATGCAATTTTCATGAAGCGTCCTTTAATCTCCTTCACCAAGTGGCATTGATTTATACAGTAAGGTAGCAGATCATATAATCAGTGATGTACAAGTGCAGGACATGGCAAACATCCATGGTAGGTCTTCCGCATAGGTTTTCGTGTTTGTGCTGTACAGAACTCAAATGTGTTTTCAGGTTGTCCCGATTTTAATTTGGCATAATGTTCGACGCTTACAAAGTTCCCAGCACGTGGAGAATTTTGGACATCACGCCAAACACGATACAACCATAAAACACATCGAACAATCAGAATCTTTATTTAGTTTGGAGGAATCCGATGAGCTATGATCTCATGGTTTGGTCGACGTGTAGCGTTCCTTGTAAGACAACGGCACACATCCCAGGATCATATTCAAAACAGAACGAGTGATGAGCTGTTCCAAGTTTAAAGTAACCAACCGCAGTAGTTCAATACGACTGTGTATTTTATCACGGTGTGCCTCGTTACTCTCCAATGCATTTCCAGGTGGTGTCGTGCGTTGCTTGGTACGATGTCCGATGCTTCGCTCCACGTGCTGGAATATTTTTCAGGCGTTCCTGTCGAAGCTCCCAGCACGTGCAGCAAAGTGTCAGATTTCATGCCAAACAACACAGAGTACAACCTGCAAAGATATCACAGCTGAGTACAAGGTCTCTTCCATAGAAAAAAATTGATGAAAAAAACCTGCTTGGCAACTGTTTTAATGCTTGCCCTACTGTCGAGGTCACTCATTTTGATGCTTGGGCGAGTTTACAGCTGTAGAATCCTTAACGGCAAACGCATTCTGTCTGTACCATGGGAAGGCAGTGTTAGATTGTGTTTCCTGTCTGTGCGTTTGTGAAGTAGTATTTCATTTTGACAGTGAGTCACTGTCCTGATTTGTTAGTCAAGGAAGTATGCACAAAGCAGCTGCTTCTCTGCATTTTGCAACAACAAAAAAGAACGCAAGGATTTTATTTTTGTGTAAGCGCTACACAGCAACCCACAATATTTCATAGCTGCCTGAAAAATACACTTAGAATTTAAATACAGGAGAACTGCCTTATGTACACTTCAAATCTACACGTTTTTTTCTCTCTACTCCACATAAAACGTATGCATGGGACTTGACAGCGTGTGTTTGTCCACTCAATGTTTAATGCAGGAGATTAAAGATGCCAGTTTCCGAACACCAGACATCAATACTGGCTCACACAACTCAACATTTGCCAAACCACTTTGCAATGCCTGAGTGATGTGCTTTGTTCTGTCCAGATTACGCAAATAAAAGCTATCACTTTTAAACTGGAGAATTTATTACTCCTAAATTTCAGTCTTCAAACTTTACACACATTTTTAAAAATAAATGTTACAACTAACACACCAGTGTTCTAAAGTTTGGCAGTTGTGGTTTATCACCATAACACATGTAGTTTGGTTAAAATGTTTAAGAATTAATGTGACTTAAGGCAAGTTTTATATTCCACATTAGCCTTTGGAAAGGCTATTTAATATAGGTCTTTTTTGACTCGGACATGTTTTGCACGATAACATTTAAATTTAAATGTTCTTAGTTTTTTTTTGCAGACAATTTTTACCAAGAGTTGAACACTGTTTTCAATCCACAGAATGCAGTCAGTGTTTCCATCTAACATGACATGACAGTTAATGTCTCTGAGGTGAAAGAACATTAATAACTGAAACTGCCAATGGACCAATTTTTTAAAGCCTCGGTAAAAGGACCATTAACTTTTCAAGGGAATACAGTATAATACATGTTGGATACTTGTAAAAAAAAAACAAATTAATAACATTAATAAGTTCAAGTAAACAAAACAACGAAAATATTTCAAGGCATGGAATTAAAACAAACCACAACCAATATTACCCAAACCGTATGAATACATATCACCAATTCGTTAAAATGTAAAAATACAACTGTGCGTAAAAAACAAATGCTTGTTAACAAACCAATCTGAAATGCTCACCACTAAAAACTAAGTAAAAAATTTCAAACTACAATGGCATAAAAAAACATAAATTAACTGCACTTTGAGGGTGTCCATTTTAGACTTGCAGGGTCGATTACTTTGTTGGAGACTGGTTTTGAGGCTTCTTTTTCCAAAAAGTCATCAATTACATCCTGCAACAAAAAAACAAAATGCATTTATTAATTAATAAAACAAATGTATGTGCAAACTCTCTCTCTGCTTCATTGGCCAACAACTTTGTTGCTTTAAACCGACTCGCATGTTACTTTTCAATCCTACATTTCAATGAACCTCAAAAACTTCAAGAAAATATCTGGCAGCAAAATGCTAAGCAATTCCCAGTTAGGAAGGCATTTCATTCGACCCTCAACTGCCTGTTAAGATACACTGTTGTTCATGTACGTGAAGATGTAATGGCATTCACAGTAACAAACTCATGCTTCCACCCATCTGTTTTTTTGGTTCTATTTGTGTTCATACTCTTTGGTTTCTTCGGAAAAGTCACGTAGGTAAAAAATTAAAATAAATTAAATCACGACGTTTCGGGTGCAACACAAGCGTCCTTCTTCTTAGCGAAAGAGACACACACTTAAGCGGTTGTGCTTTCGCTAAGTTGTCCCCACCTGAAGAAGGATGCGTGTGTTGCGCCCGAAACGTTGTGATTTAATTTATTTGAATTTGTTACCTACGTGACTTTACCAAAAAAACCCAAGAGTATGAATCCTTGCAGTCACGAAAACTTCAAATCTAGAATCTATTTGTATTCGCAGCACCATTGTTTTTTTTTCCCGAAAACCGCAAAATGTAACTAACAAAAGCCACGCCGCTCCGCATGTTTTGCCAGTTGTGCTGTCGCCATGCATTGTGCTTGGCATTGATGTCGACATTTTTTGCTTCCATTTGGTTCCTGAAGAAGCTCCCAGCAAGTGGGGCGCAACGTCGAGCATATGCTGAACGCTTGGTCCAACCCAAAAACTGCATCGGAAAATAAACTTTGCCAAAGAGGATTCAGTGTATGCGTGAAACTGCCAGCAGCTTCGAGTGGCTGAAGGTATGCACCTGTCTTTTGAGCACAAGATGTTTCCCTTTCCAGTATTTGAGCATCTGCAGGGCTTGTAACGTGTTCACAATGTCCACCGGGTTGACTGCCGTGTCCTGGCTAATTTCTGGAGCAAAAAAAACACGTGCACGTGTATATAGACAGCATTCACAAAATTTGAGTGAAATATTAAAATAAAAATGCAAAAGACAATCCATATCATGCACGAACAGACAACGGGGTCAATATGGTAAAATTAAGTGAGCGTGAAACAACATGAAAGAGTATTATTTGGTTCTTTTGGTAAAGTCACATAGATAGGTTCAGATTAAGAAAAATTAACGATCGCTTGTGTTGTGATCGAAACGTCGTCGTCTTTTGTTAATTTTATTTTTATTAATTTGAACCTATCTACTTGACTTTACCGAAAGACCCAAAGAATATGAATTCCTGCAGTCACGAAAGCTTTAAGTCAAGATTTAACATTAAAAAGGTTTCTCATCACAGAGTACAATATAGCTAGATATTACAACTCATCCGATGTTGATTGAGTCCATGGTCAGTCATCAAGTCGTATTATAAGTTCGTAGTCAACATCCCATCAGCCTTGCAACATGTAAATCTTAGATTTTAAAGCAGAGATGTGTGTAACCATGAGTTGTCTTGTCCAGGGCAGCGAGCGACAGAGCCTAAAGCGTGGGCCCAACCACGACCGGCAAAAGCACTGCTGCAAATGTGCACAAGTGGCAGCAGGCACACCTTTAATCGAGATCTCCTTGCCCTGGAAAGCGTGAAGATATCGCAGCAGCACCTCCTTCCAGTAGCTTCGATAACTGATGAGGCCCAAGTCGGACAGGGGCCTCTCCGGTGAACCGATCTTATTCTCCTCCTTGGACAACAGATAGCCTGCACAGCAAACACCACCGCCACACAGTACTCAGCTGGGGAACTACTACTGAACTAACTTATACTCATTGGTTTTTTCAGTAAAGTCACGTATGTAGAAATAAAATTAAAATCACGACGTTTCGAACGCAACACAAGCGCTCATCATCAGGTGGAAATGGGCTAAAACACATAGCGAGGGAACACACAGGGGGACACCACGCACAGCACATAGAGAACGGCAAACTGCATGGAGGCAAATACAGCAAGAAGATGGGAGACGAGAACTCAACAAACCTTAGAAACATAATGTGATGCAGTTTGCCGTTCTCTATGTGCTATGTACGTGGTGTCCCCGTGTGTTCCCTCGCTACGTGTTTTACCCCATTTCCACCTGATGATGAGCGCTTGTGTTGCGTTCGAAACGTCGTGATTTAAATTTTATTTAAATTGTATTTCTACATACGTGACTTTACCGAAAAAAAACTATGAATATAGTAATTTCTGCAGTCACGAAAGCTTCAATTCTAGATGAACTACACTTCTTCATGACGGAAACCGGAACAGAGGTGACAACGTTAAACGTAGGTGGCTAAGAATATTACACTGGACACTAAAAACGAACATACCAATTCATCGTTTAAGGAGGTAGATGTGTTTCTGAAAAGTGCCGCGTTGAACGAAAATGTGTTGCGCGAGTAATTACTGCATATACAGATAGTCCCTGAGTTACGATGGTCCAACTTACGATATTTCGATATTACGATAGCGATACGACAAAATTGTAAAATAGTTTCAATTTCGCACGGCAGGAAAACGCAGCAGCGTACAAGGTACGATACCGTACGTTGTTTTTTTTTTATAGCAGATAGGATTGTTTCCTGAAAAAAACTTTCTATGAAATTGCAGTTCATATAGGTAGGCTAAGAATTTACCTTGTTTTCTTTACTTTACATTTTACTGTGCTATACAGTATTGTAATTAATGAATACATACGGTATATAGTTTATACAGTACGCTACTGTAAATTGCTGTTTTGCTAAATTATCACCATTTTTTAAGACTCCTGGGTAGGCTAGGCCATCTTCGACTTACGATATTTTCGACTTACGATGGGGTCGTCGTAACGCATCTCCATCGTAAGTAGAGGACTACCTGTACATTAAAGGGCATACATCAATTAAAAAATTCAAATTTGAATCACATTTTCACAATAACATCACCCTGCAGTTATCTCATGGTGGGACAAAAACACAGAGATTAAGGTATGCTGTGGACTGTATCATTCCGCGTACTGTATCATATCTCTCAGCCGCGCAGCTCAAGAAAGCAGTTCAACGTCGACCGCTCAGAACCCACGTTATAACTGCTCGCGTTCCGCACTGTGCGCAGTGTTTCCGAATGGAAGACCCGCGTTATAGCGAAAACGCGCTGTGTGAACGCGCGCTAAGCGGGGACTCACCGTACCGAATAATGCAACTTAAAAAGGTACTTACTGAAATCAATCAACATTTTTCCATAGCCCTGCCTCATAAACTGTGGCATTGTCAGGATGCAGGAAACATTGTAGTTCAAGAACGAGTTTTTTTCCTGAAAAAGAGAAATCAGCGCAATGAAGTTGCTAAAAGAAGGGCAAAAGTCATACACAAGTTTCGTTCACAAACATACCACAAAAAATGGTCGTTGAAAAAACTTTCATAATGCAATCTTAAATCCCAAAACACTCATAAAAATGTATTTAATTCCACAAAACTTCAGAGGATTGCAACTACAGTGTGTGCGAGACCTTTGAAAAGTATCCTATGATGTGGCAGCCTGTGTTGTCACCCTCCGTCATTACATAGAAAAGGAAGGGCTCCACATCATAGTAGAGTGTCTTGTGGTCGAGGAAAAGCTTGGCCAGGAGACATAAATTTTGGCAGTAGATCTATAAAACATGAGGATGACAGGCACTCTCAAGTTCAGTGAAAATCCAAGGGCTCAAACCGTCATTAAAACGTTAACAATAAAAAATTGTGTTTGCTTAAAAGTCCACAACTTTGTATCGCACATAAATGTAGCTAATAGGTCATTCATACTACGGTTGGACAATGGAGTTGCTACCTTATTCTTCTTGCCATCCACCTCAAACACTGAAATGGTTCCCTTCCTGTAGATTTCATCTCCAGGGGGATGCTTCCATACACACTTCTCCTGCACAGTACAGACGTGCAACATTATCCATGCAACATCAGCCACCGCACAATACAGCAAAGATGACAATGCAAGTCATTGACGACTACTCTTTAAATCCACGGCTAATCAACAGAAACCATTCATAATGCTCCCTTTGGAAAACGCGTGTAATGCATATGAACGTTAAAAAAAGGTGATACATACATATGCTGGTTTTCACCATCATCACATGGTGCATAAAGTCCAACCACAAAGTTACAAGCCACCATGATTAACTAGAAAGGTGTGCAAGTAGCCCTCCACCACAGCAATTGTAAAAGTGTAAAGGTGAACTGGCAAAGTCACTAAGTCAGCCTCGAGCCCCGCTGCGTGCACCCACCGTGTGCCTCCGCAGAATGGTCTGGCTCTTCATGTATTTGAGGCAGAACTCGCACACGTAAAGCCGGCCCAGGCGTGCATACTCTTCAGGGTATGGCGAGTGGTACCAAGTGTCTAGTTCGTAGCGGCCAAACACTATTGACTTGATCATGTTTGTCCCCTCCGTAAGGTGACCCTTTAGCCGCATCTTCTCCTGAACAGGCACAGTCATCTGGGTCATCAAGGTCAGCACAACAACAATTGAGGATATTTTAACCAATGCAACTCCACTCTTGGTTACACTTAATACTACAAGACTGAAGTGGTGTTAGGGAGTGAGGCAAAGTGTAAGAGGACAGAGTGACTTAAAGTAAACTAACACATGTTGAATTTTAGACTTTTATAAACACATCAGCGAACTTTGTTGTTTCATGTGTGTTTATTATTTATGGGGGAAATATTATAATTGGAGCCCAAATGGTCCAAGCCACGGATTGTTTTTTCAAACCAGAAAGGAAGTTCTAGCCTAATATTACTAACTGCAAAACTGACAAATCATGAACGAAACACATGTTTTATGCATGTTTGAAAAATCTGAAAACTTCACAACGGTCCAGCAAAAATAAAATTGCATAAATTAATGGCTTATGTAAAGCCAACTCTTACAAGTTGTTTAAATGAAATAATATTCTCTCCACTTTCATTATCTGACTATATCTAATACATATCTGAGAATACAGTGCATTTAACAACAGACATAGGTCAATGCATAAATATGCTGAAAGGATTGTGAAGGTTGCTGAGTAAGCATCATAAGCTGTGAGATTCCACTAGTTCAAAGGGTGCACACACAAAGGGTATCCAATCAAAAGTAAATAAAGCAACATATTACATAGCAAGGGGAAAAAACCTTACGGAATTAATGATTGCATCAACAAAACGGTGGCTATTCAAAAGTGCACAACTTGACAGTTATGAAATAAATAAAATGAAGCGTAATGATGGACTTAGTGGCCGTCCATAAATGACGTCCGCGATTTTGGACAATTTTTGACCGCCCCCCCCCTTTGTCACACGACGTCACAAAAAGTCAGACCCCCCCTCAAATATGACGTCACAAAGCTCTGCCCCCCCCCCCCCCCAAATAAATAAAAACATGCTTCAAATCGCTTTAAACTATTGTCATTGTAGTGCGTATTTAATGTGACGCTGCACTCTGATGTTGTAGGAGAAAACATTTATTTAAAAAGTCTATTTAATTAAGTAGAACGTCTTCTTGGTTTTTTCGGTAAAGTCACGTAGAATGGAAATAATAAAGTAATAAAAATAAAACATAATAAAATAATTCTAATTATTTTATTATTTCCATTCTACATGACTTTACCGAAAGAACCAAGAAGATTAATCCCTGCAGTCACGAAAGCTTTAAATCGAAATTTAAGTAGAACGTGTTGTCTATATTTATTTAAAGTTGCGCATTTTGATGTGACTTCACATTTCTCAAACCCCCCCCCCTCGTCACACATCGTCACAAATGTCTGACCCCCCCCACCCCCCCAGGTGCGTGACGTCATTTATGGACGGCCCCCTTAAGACAAACGTCATAAAACTTTGTGAAGAGGACAAAACACTTTAAAGCGTAAGAATATGTTGAGCTTGTACACTACTCCAAGCTGATGTTTCTGTATCTGTGAAGGGCATTCCCCTGCAGGGCAAAAACAAGCACTTGTCCCCTGTTTCTTTGCGTTAATGATTTTTTTGCTTTTTAAAAAAATTGCATGCAAAAAACAATTTTAAAAAAGTAAGTCTTTCCAGTTTGCCACATATATATCCAAATGCATAACAATAAAAAGAAGAGTCTGGCCTTTTGTGTGTCTGTTCAAATAAGCCACGCGGTGCCCGATGAGCTTAACCAATCATATCCAAATGTGCCATGCAGTTTTAACATTCGTGTGTGGCAAGTGTTTTAATCGACAATAAAATTGCATTGAATTTGACCATCACTATCATTAATATTATCGAAAAATCTATCGTGAAACCTAAAGTAGTTTCTTCGTGAGAAAGGTGAGATTACCAGTCGTGTTAGAGACTCCCTTCACAGGTCAAGTCGTGCACTATGGATTCACATTTGAGGCATTTCCCTGCCACAGTTTCCCATGCGCGGCTCGAATGAAAAGGGCGTGCAAACAGGCAGTGGCCCAGCACAAGTGTAGCCGGTTATGGAATCAGGTTGTGCCAGGGTTGGGTGTGCCAATGTCAGGTGGTGCAGTACCAAGTCATCCGACGCCCGTGCTTGGGCCTTGCGGAACAGTTCCAGGTCGTAGTCCGAGGTGAGGCCCTGCAAAAGGGGTTCTCGGCTATTTTCTTGACTTCGTGGATTTTCCTGAAAAAACCCCAGTTTGTTACGATACTATTATCCAACTCAATCGTGTTACTGAAACACTACTTACATGCATTTTTTTTACCCAATTACCCACGATAAATTGTGCTCACGGGGATCAAATTATTATTATACACAAGCACAACAAAATAAGTTTCAACTCAACTTGGAAAAACACCAAACACTATTCTAGACTTACCACTATTTTCTCTTTCTGCTCAGCCGGAGGAGTTGAGCGACGCTTGCGCAGCTCAACTACTTTCTCCTTGAAGCGCTGCTGCTTGCTTGGCGATGCCTACACAGCACAACACCAAATCCGTCAACACCTGACGCTACCAACGGTCTTACGCACATCACGCTCTCACTGGGGCCTGACACCTTCAGCACATTAACACGTGCGGGAAACACAGGCCTAAATACATGCATTGCACCACCTTATCAGCAAACATTTCGACTTAAGAATTATAACCATACTGGTAGGAACCTCCTGATTACACCAGCCCACAGAGGATTATTGTGTTCGTCGTGCAGGGAGGGGCTGGGTGGGGAGGGTGGGGCTGGGTGGGGCTGGGTGGGGAGGGGCTGGGTGGGGAAGGTGGGGAGGGGCTTGGTGGGGTGGATGGGACTGGGTGGGGGGTGGGAGGGGTGGGGCTGGGCAGGGAGGGGCTGGTCATCCCGTGGTGCCCTTATAAAACTCAACGTTTAACCTACTCACGCCAGCTTGTGCTCGCCCTCACAGTCGGGCATATTTGCGGAATACACCACGCCGCCGTTGACCCTGGCCATTGACCGAGCAACCCAACGTTCCTATCAGCTCCCTCCGCAGGAATGTGTTATTAAGGGCATTAACTTTTACCAACAGTGTTGAAGAACGGAAAAGCAAATCAGAGGTAGAATATTAGGTAAACATGAGAATAGGTTGGTTTGGAAAATAGGTCAATAAATATTGTCTTAATTATTGAACTACTTTGTGAGCGTGTTATAAATTACAACAGCAACCACAAGCAGTATAGACTGCGCCGGTCCTTCGACCCAAAGCCGCTAGTAGTTGCCTGTGTTCATTGTTTGGATTAAAAAGGCCGCGAACCTGCTGCCTCGTGAAGTGGCGGTTGTTTTCCAGTTGCTTGTGTGCTAGAGTTCTCTCCTGCTTTTCACGCTGCTGAGCCCTCAACTACACACAAGGTAAAAATCAATCAGAGGTACTCTTAAATGCTGAGATATTAGGATGGGGTTGGGGTAAAAGTGCGAAGAAGCGGAGCAATGTTGTACTTAAGCCCATGTTAACATGCAGGCGAGAGATTCACATCGTCATACAGAGTTCAAGGCATGTGCTCAAATCTGCTTTCATGTTCAGGTTTCATTACATGAATCAAGGCATTTCAAGAATCAAAACCCAGCCTTCTGGGTGTAACCCTATTATTGTCCTTCACAATATAACTGTTAAGTTACTCAGAATAAATGTTACGTTCCTGTTGCTGTAATTAAGGTTTGCTTATTTTTTTCAAATTTATGTCATTTAAATCTTATATTTTTAACGTTTATGCTACTGAGACTCTGCTTATGGAAGACAATGTTTAAAGAGGAAAGTGGCAAAATGGGCAAAGCCGGTACATGTGACCCGTGTTCTCACCTTGCACTCTTCGGCAGAGAGGTTGTGGTACAGGGGACACCCTGAAATGGAGAAGTGTCGTTCGTGTTTCCCAGTGAGGTGACCTAAAGCAAACACACAATGCCACGTAGTCTTTAATTATAACCTATCATACTTATCTCCAAAAACATTGCTCTCGCATGCTGTTAATGCTTTTAGAATCACAATAAAACCTTTCGAGCAAGATAATGATCTACCCATCGACTTATATTAAGCTCATGATACATGCATTTGAAATAATTTTTTAATTATAATCAATGCTTTTATATTGAAATGTTGCTCATGAATTTAAGCAACCGCTCCAAACACTAGAAGCTGCTTGAAATTGCCTCCATTTAAAAAGAAAATAGATTCTTGAATCGAATGGTGACTGAATTATGACAATTCATTGAGTTGCGTGGGGTGTAAATTGTTACACTCGTAGGGCTAATCAATGGCAAGTATAGCTGAGCATCGATACCGAGGGAGTCGCATCCCGGGGTGGGACACTTGGAGTTGAAGTTGTAGCTTTCGTGGTATCGCCTGCGCTTGGGCCGGTTGGTGAGATGGCCGGAGAGCTCGTGGTACGGCGTGCCTCGGTCTGCAAAGTCCTGACCAGGACTCGCTGCCTCCACCTCCGACTCGGAGAGGCCAGCGATCTCCTCCGGTGTGCGCGGAGGCGTTCGCTCCCTCTCCACAGGAGTTTTCAATTCTGTGCACGTGCAACGCATTACAGCTGCTTGTCTAGCATTTAGAAATGGAATGTATAGTCTTACAAAAATACAACATGTGGAAGTCACGTATCAATTTATCAACTACAATGGATTATTGCGCTCATGGTATGTGAATTGAATTGTGTGAATTTATTAGATTGGAGCGCCTCTTATCCTCGATCTTATAATGTGCGACTAATGTTATCCACGGCCATAATCTATGATCTGCGGGATCTATTATCTCTATGACCTGCTGAAGTGGTTTAATGATGAATTGATGATTTTGATGATGATGGTGTTGAGGATAATGAAATTGTTTCCAATGATGATTGCACAATCTCGCGCGATCTCTGTGTGCAGCCTCAGTTTCTGGCTGTGCCCTAATGCAGCATTCGTACTACACAAGCTGCAAATCCACAAACAGTGCCCCCTCATATTGCTGCAGCTAAGAGGAATTTCACTATTATTGGATTTAAAATTCATGAAAATTATAGACAAATGCTTTCTTTGGACTGATGGAATAAACAAGACACAGCAAATGAGAACGACAATTAAAACACTCAAACAAATGATCAATTATCGAATCCAACGATAACCACATTGTGACAACTCATGAAATTGGGAATAGTCAGGTGAATCCTTATATACCTAAGAGATGCGGTATAGTGCCATACAAACAATTCTTACCTGGAGGGGGCTCTGCAGGCAGATCTGACTCAGAGAGTGAGCGCGTCCCTCTCAAAGGGTATTTTTTAGGAGTGCCATTCTGCTGGGTGCGGACTGAGCGCCGTGTCGTGTATGCAGAGTCTTCTGCTTTAAACACAATAACATTTACTCTTAACACTTATTCAATCACTTGCACCAACATGACCTTAATCCAATAGCAAATAAGTGAAAGTTGTATTGCTTGAATCTACAAAATGGGTATGTAAATGTAAAAGCAGATACATTTGTTCACAATGGAAATACGTGCAAATGAATATCACGGAGTTACAATGACACTGCTCTTTTTTAAGGAACGCAACTTGAAACTCATGAGAAACAAGCATAGGTATGTATTTTATAAATAAGGACTATGTGGTTGATTCGTTGTCTTTCTTCAATATGGTCATTCATACTTGACTAGACACTTCTGATGATGCAAATGCAACTCATTGAATAAATTAACCACAATAATTTTTAATATTCTTGGTTCTTTCTGTAGTCACGTAGAAGGGAAATAATAAATATAAAACAATAAAATGCTCACGACTTTCGATTGCAACACAAGCAATCATCATCAGGTGTGAAAACTACAGCAAGAATTTTTTTAAAAACCGCCACTTTTTTCAAAATTTCTTGCCACGGTTTTCACACCTGATGATGATTGCTTGTGTTGCAATCGAAACGTCGTGAGAATTTGATTGTTTTATTTTTATTATTTTATTATTTCCCTTCTACGTGACTTTACCGAAAGAACCAAGAATATGAATCCCTGCAGTCACGAAAGCTTGACATCGAAATTTAACACAATAATTTTCTCTGAATTGTATTTGCCGCTCTCATTTCATTGGATTGATTTAACGGCTGTAGTAAGAGTGCTACATCTGACCATGTGGTCACACGAGGTTAACTTAATGACTGCGCCAGCAGTTTCACTGCTCGTGTTCGCGAAAGTTGCTCCCTCCTCCCGTACCGCAGTGGAAGATGATGTCTGCATGCATGGAGGCGGCGCGGGTGAGACGGGCGGAGGTGCGCCGGGGCTGCATGTCACTCTCCCAGGTGCCTTGCTCCACCGCCGACTCCAGCTCCTCCACCGTGTGCTCCCCAGAGCGCTGCAGTTCACAAAGAAGCCAAGGGTCATTTACACAAAAATGAGACGGGACAGCAGGAGTGAAGTCACTCTTACTTTGCAAACCTATTCCGTCAGTGCTCAGCGGCTGGCAAGTGTTGATTACCATACTCTTTGGTTCTTTCGGTAAAGTCACGTAGGTATAAAATAAATAAAATCACGACGTTTTGGGCGCAACACAAGTGCCCGTCATCAGGTGGAACAACCACAGCAATAAACAATTGCTGAAGCGGGCAAGAGTGTAGCAGCCATGTTGATTACCATGCAACGATTCGTCATCATCAGCCATGATCTAGGCAATACCTGATTAAGTTTCCACAAGTTTTAACCATCTCTCAAAGTGTTGCGGTACAACAATCCATCGAGCACCTGCACATGAGCTGATGATATCAGGCTCCATCCATCTCTGTGATGGATGAGCTCTCGGACGGCTTCCCCATGGCTGCTACACTGTTGTTGTTCCCGACGAACAATCATCATCCTGCCCAAGCCTATTTGATTCGCAATCAATATTTTTATTTAACTTGAGTGTTTTGCCTAATTAAGAGGTTCAAACTTAATTTGGAGCTTTCGTGACTGCAGGAATTATTCTTTGGTTCTTTCGGAAAAGTCACGTATAAAGATTAAATAATAAATTAAATTAAATACTAGCATACTATAAAGATAAAATAATAAATTAAATACTAGCATACTGTGCTTAATTTCATTTATTATTTTATCTTTATACGTGACTTTACCGAAAGAACCAAAGAATAATTAAGAGGTGTCCAACAACGTGACAAGGTTTTTGTCACGTGCAGCCTCAAATCGCCAATTTTACCTTAATTCTAGATTTGAAGTTTTTCGTGACTGCAAGGATTCATACTCTTTGGTTTTTTCGGTAAAGTCACGTAGGTAAAAAATTAAAATAAATTAAATCACGACGTTTAGGGCGCAACACAAGCATCCTTCTTCAGGTGGGGACAACTTAGCGAACGGACACCGCTTAAGTGTGCCAATTTTACCACCAGGCGGCGCAAGACAACGCATTTGTGACCTCGAAGCCTGGGCGTGCGGGAACCAGTAAAAAGAAACACTTCAAACGACCTACAAAAACAACAACACGAGACAACCGCAAGGTTGGGCGCCCACACACAAAAACCCGTCGCCTGCATGCGTGCATGCGTTTTACTGGAATGGTTAAGAATCCTTAACACCCAGGCTCTGCGAATGATTAATGCTTGCGGTTATTTGCATCGGGGTCACACACCAACGAAACAAACCAATTGGGAGACGGACACGGTTACATGTGGTGTAAATGCGAAGTACTGTACAGGAGGCGCTCGGGTACAGTGGTGGTAAATACGAAGTACAAGTAGTCACGCGTGCCTGAGTATCAATCACACGTGTCGAGCGCCAGCCACACGTGTTTGCACTTCGGCGCTGATCCGTGAAGAACATGCGACAGGTGGCGTCTCACAAAGGTGGCAACGCGGCACGGAAGGCGGTACCGGGTGCCATTGTCTCTCACCGCCCGCGTTCAATAAGCGAATATAATAAGCAAGCCTCATTGGTTTCTCCACGGACATTGAAGGCACGAAGCCGCACATAACCACCCCGCTTTTCTAACCACTGCTGCTTCTGCTGCTTGTCCAGCCACCACCACCGCCACCTTGCGCACATGCACATGTAAACACTGCTCGATGAGGGCTCCCCCCCCCCCACTCACGCCGTGCGGGTGTTCATATGACCATACTTCATCACGAAGGTCAATGCGTGAGTTGATGAAGGCGGGGATCAAAGACGTGGGCATGTAGAAGTGCATGGCAATGGTTTAGCTACACTGCCCTTCTTGCCCATTACGGAAGGCTGGCGCATATTAAGTCAGTGATGCATGGCCCACACTTTCTGCTGTCCCAATGCCCCCCTAATGCCCCCCATTGCCCTCATAATGCCCCCCAATGCCCTGTGTGTCCCTGGCAGTGAATCTCCCTGCTGCCTTGCCCTCTCGAGGTGCCCTCCTGTCCCTGCGGGTTCGTGCTTTTTTCCCTCGCACACATTAACTCAAGTCGCTCTCTCTCTCTCCCGTCTCATAACAAAAACACAGTATCAACGAAACAGCATTTGCAACAGCAAGCTCGTGTAAAAAAAAAGCCACCGCTCGTAACACAAGTCATAAATAACAATGCAATTTTTAACAATTACATTCTAACAAGACGGAGCCAGGCGCCGTATTCGCATAGCCACCCTGCCGGGTGAGGCGCGGCTCGGGCGGCCGGAAATTCAGGTGAGATCGAGGCTTTCCTGCGGCCTACTTCGCGTTTTTTTATGTAGAACAGCCACAGCGACAGCCCCAAGAGCCCAACGAGGATCCGAGGAGCAGTGCTCCTCTCCTACATCACTCACAGGGTGTACAAGAGCAATGCTGCCTTTGCCGTTTAATTGTTGTTATTGTTGTTGCTGCTACCGAAGCAGGAGGCCAGGCCCAATAAATCGCCTTACCTTCCTGCGCGTCATGTTCGCTGCTCCGTCGCGCGTGAGAGCCAGGGGTTTGTGCGTTGTGTAGCTGGTGAGGTTTGTGTGTGTTGTTGTTGTTGTATGTGTGTGTTTGTTGTGTTTATTTGTGTGTGTGGGGGGGGGGGGGGGGTTTGTGTGTTGCGGTCTCCGTGAACAGAGCGGAGCGCGAAACCGCGCGACCCCGGTACCAACGAATGGGGCGTCACGTGACCCCGCCACCAGACCCAGAGTGGAAGCCACAAAAATAATATAAACAACAGCAATAATATAAACAGCAATACTATTAACATCAATATTAATAACAACTAAAGTATCAACAACACCAACAAGAACAATATCAACAACATCGATAATAACAATATAAACAATAAAAAAAAATTCAACAACATCATTAATAACAATATCAACAACACCAATAATATCAACAACACCAATACCATTATCAACAAGAATAAAAAAACCAACAACACCAATAATAAACAATAATAACCATTACAACACGTTTCAGTGACAGTCATGATATAACAATAATTATTATAATAAAACAAATTACATTACATGTACAATTAACTACACTATGGGGACCTCATTTGCCAGTAAAAATATGATAATTGGTTCTTTACCCTTCTATCTGGCAACAAAACTGACACCTTTTTTTACAAGGAGTCATGTTTGCATAGACCACAATACCTGCAGTCATAAATACAAACAATACCTGCAGTCATAAATACAAACAAAAGACAAAAGACATAACTCTGATAATGTGCACATTATCAGAGTTATGTCTTGTAAAAAAAGGTGTCAGTTTTGTTGCCAGATAGAAGGGTAAAGAACCAATTATCATATACAATTAACTTTCATAATAACTGTGATAGAAAATTACAAAACCAATTAACAAAACATTAATAACAATAAGGAAATATAATAAACTGGCTGTACCCGGCGTAACATACGCCGATCTAGCGGATCTTAGTTAAACATTCACGCATTTTTTTTACTTATATTTTTCCGTCCAAGATTTATCTAAATCTACAATTGTCAATTTTTAGGTTTTTCCCAACACTACACTGAACGAATCAAACGATCTAACCCTTGATAGAGTAACATAATTAATTGGAAGCTATCTGAATTGTTGCACACATCCTTAACCTTATATATAGATAGCAATTATAATTAAGACATTACAATAAAACAATTAACATGGCGATAAATAATTTCAATAAAAACAGTAAAAGAAATCAGGACAATTCAAGTCACTTATAACAAATAACAAAAGCCATAAACATACAAGTACATAAGAACAATAGAAAAACGTGCATAATATGGACCTTTTCTACACGCACAAACTCATACACACTCACTGTCATTACAATTCAAACCATACACACAAACTCTCCTGCACACAAACCCCTAAACACACACGCAAACTCAAACACACACACAAACTCATAAACACACACACACACAAACTCATACACACACTCATTGTCATTACAATTCAAACCATACACACAAACTCTCCTGCACACAAACACCTAAACGCATACACACAAACACCTAAACACACACACAAACTCCTAAACACACACAAACTCCTAAACACACAAACCCTAAACACACAAACTCCTAAACACACAAACTCCTAAACACACAAACCCTAAACATACACAAACCCTAAACACACACACAAACCCTCCCGCATGCACACGAAGATATACAGACACAAAGACAAAGATACCCCGTATAGCCTTAACAGACTGTAGGGGCAAGTGCTATTAGCGAGTAGCACCTATGAAGACCGAAATAGCACACGAAGGGGTGGGTGGCCAGCACCACGCCCGGCCGCCTTTGTCTTCCCAGTGGTGATGTTTACACACCACACACCAGGTACTCATTTGAGACTGAGTTGACCTAAGGGAGGCCCAAGACCGGTTCAAATAATCGTCACTGGTGGTGGCTGTGAGTGGGAATCGAACTCGGATCGCCGGGTTCGTAGCGCAACAACAACAAACGCCATTCGCCACTAAGTGACGGTGACGTCAGCACGGTGTTTGTGCCAGGCTAAGTGCACTTTAAGGCCACGTGGAGTGTCGAACGCCCGCTGGCAGGTCACGGAGCAGACCCAGCAGGTGCCACGGGTCGACTGACTGAGATGACCGAGATGACTGGCTGATGCACCACCTGTGCCCCATACTGTGCCAACTTGCTGTGCTTTAGCCACCCGGCGCTCCGCTCGTTGTTGTGAGCGTCGCTCCTCCGCCCTCCGTTGTTGTTGGAGGGCGACTGCCTCCAACTGCCCAGTAGCGTCCTTCACGAGCCTCCTCCACAGAGGCCGATCTTGACACCGCTGGTACCAGTCATCGGCAAGTCCACTCAGCCCCACGTCCTCCTGTACCACATCACTCCATCTCTTCTCTAGCCCGTGTCACTCACCCACTCACTCACCCACTCACTCACCCACTCACTCACCCACTCACTCCATCTCTTCTCTAGCCCGTGCAGAGCCCGTTTAGTCTCCTCAATGCGGCCAAACAGAAGCTGCTTAGGGCATGAGGTGGCTGGGCATGTGAGCCACATGACCCTGCCTGCCGGATGAGTTCACCGATGGGACTTTGTCCAGGTCTTTCAAGGATTTGTGAGCTCCTCACACAATCCAGACTGGTTAAACCCAGGATGGATCGTAGGCAGGCCAGCCTAAATGTTTCTAGCCGGTGAAGATGCTCCACTAGGGGGGTCCACGTTTTGCAAGAGTAGAGAAGGGAGGGAATGACCGTGGCCGAGAAGACCTGTAGCTTCGTGCGGAGCGACAGACCAGGTAGCTTCCACACAGCGTTACCCAATCGATGAAAATACATTGCCACTCGACTGATTGGGAGTGAGACCTCTGCTGTTAAACCGGAGCCGGTCAAGAGCACACTGCCCAGGTATGGAAAATTCTCTACTCTCCCCATTAACACACACACACTCTCTCATCAACAAACATACATACAAATGCTCTTTGGTTCTTTCGGTAAAGTCACGTAGGTATAAAATAAATTAAATCACAACGTTTCGATTGCAACACAAGCAAAAAATAAATTAAATCACCACGTTTCTATTGCTTGTGTTGTAATCGAAACGTCGTGATTTTATTTATTTTATTATATACCTACGTGACTTTACCGAAAGAACCAAAGAGTATGGATCCCTGCAGTCACGAAAACTTCAAATCGAGATACATACAAATACACAATCACACACGCGCGCCACTAAAGCCCCTTTGGCAGAGATGACCAGAGCTGTCGCTCAGCGCTCGCGAAATCTGTGGCAGGTTTTGCACAAAGCTGACCAGGACCCACAGCATTGGCACTTGTGCAGCTGGACCCTGCTCAGCTGAGTGCACGTGGCATGCCGGCAAGTCCCCCTTTGTGAGCCCTGCAGCAGAGGGATTGTCACACCGGGGTCGCCACGAAGAGGACCTGGCGAATATAACATTCAGCCCATCACAGCATCGCAAGGGGAGGCACTTCTGCAACGAGGCACTAAAACACATTCCTGCGGAGGGAGCTGGTAGGAACGTTGGGTTGCTCGGTCAATGGCCAGGGTCAACGGCGGCGTGGTGTATTCCGCAAATATGCCCGACTGTGAGGGCGGGACACAAGCCGGCGTGAGTAGGTTAAACGTTGAGTTTTATAAGGGCACCACGGGGTGACCAGCCCCTCCCCACCCAGCCCCACGCAGCCCCTCCCCACCTTCCCCACCCAGCCCCTCCCTACCGAGCCCCACCCCTCCCACCCCCCACCCAGCCCCACCCCTCCCACCCAGCCCCACCCCTCCCACCCCCCACCCAGCCCCACCCCTCCCACCCAGCCCCACCCCTCCCACCCCCCACCCAGCCCCACCCCTCCCACCCAGCCCCACCCCTCCCACCCCCCACACCCAGCCCCTCCCTGCACGACGGACGGACACAATAATCTCTTGTGGGCTGGTGGAACCAGTGGGTTCCTACCAGTAAACCATCGCTGCCTATCCATAGTGTGGTGGTGTCTGGTAAGACTAAATTTGTCTAAACGAGAAAAAAAACTATTTGCCCTCATGCGCAAGACTCCGTGTAGCGAGGCGATTTTTAAGTTTTGAATTTAAATGACTGCAGTTGTTTAACCCAGCAGTGGAATGGACATGACTGGTTATGACGACGAACTAGTATTCTATTTTACTGCACTAAGTGCCCTCAGAAGCGTTTCAAAATACAGTTTGAGCAGCAGTGAGAGTGGGGTGGATGGAGGGAGGCTTATTTGGAAGCGAGTTTACAGGCTCAAGATTCGATTACGTAGCTCCAATTGAGTGGCAAGCAGCCATTCTAAAACACAAGCTTCAGCCTTAGAGGAAATTGTTGTGTCCGTCGTGCAGGGTGGGGGGTGGGCTAGGTGAGGAGGTGCTGGTCAGCCCGTGGTGCCCTTATAAAACACGTTTAACCTACTCACGCCGGCTTGTGTCCGCCCTCACAGTCGGGCATATTTGCGGAATACACCACGCCGCCGTTGACCCTGGATATTGACCGAGCAACCCAACGTTCCTACCAGCTCCCTCCGCAGGAATGAGTTATTTTGTAACGTGGCTGGTGTCCGACAACATAAACAATCACCAAGCACGTGCCATGAAACCCTCAAATTATGTTCTTCAACAAAGGTTATGCTAAGACTATGATTCTTATCATTTGTGAACCGCAAGGGGTGAAGGACCCCCAGATGCTGGAAATGCTCATGAGGGAGGGACCTGGACCTTAATGGAGATGCGGAGTGCGGCTTCCAAGAGTTCATGACAATGCTCACCATCATCGCCACAGCCTGCCACTCATTAGTCAGCCGAGTGGCCAGTGGCCAAGCCATAGAGCGTGCACAAATACAGACTAAATTTAATTCAATCGAATGATCAAAAATGCTTAACCAATTTCAAATCACTAACATAAAATGAAATGTTAACATGTCTTCGCTTTTCCAAATCACAATTAGTTGGATAGGTTGGGGTGATGCTGCAACTCTGCAGTACAAGAGCTAAAATTGCACAATGAGCAACATGGATTCCACAAACACAACCAATTGTATCGACTACGAGCTTAATATATATCCTTGCACAAT